TTTCTTTGTAAATTGTTCTTTTAAAAACAATTCCACTTGGATATACCAGTCAAATATAAATTTGATCACAGCATTATTCATAATTTATAAATATAACCTCAATTCAAAAAAATCGTGAATAAATTTATTAATTTTTTTATTTTATTATTGATAAATAGTTGTTGAATTTTTAATGAATCTTTAATTAATAATTTAATAAATAGTTATTAGTTTTTTAACAAGTAGACAATGAATTTTTAATGAATAGTTTTGATAAATTAATGCTGAATTTTTATTGAATTGTTAATAAATAATTTTTAATGAATTATTGTTAAATTGTTAATAAATTATTGCCAAATTGTTAATGAATTATTTGACGAATTATTAATAAATTTTTTTACAAATTGTTAATATATTGATTTTTGTAGTTGCCAATTCATTTATGTTATTTTTTTTGCTAAATTGTTTATTTTTTATCAAATCTTATATAAGTGGTAGTATGCTGAATAATTTTTTTTTGACTAATTTTAAATTTGTATTTTTCTTTTTAATTCTTTGTTAGACTTTTATAGTCAGTTTTTTTTTTTTTTTAATACTTCTTAATAATATTATTTTATTTATTTAATAATTTTACTTTTTTAAATTGTAGTATATTTAATATTATCTTATTTAGACTTAATTATATTAAATATTATTTTCTTTCTAATTTAATTTATCAAAAAGCTGACTATTTATTTTTTATTATTTTACAGATTGATATATTATTGTTCTAAAGTAGCTTTACTAATATTTCTTGTTTTTTTAACTTCTAATCTCTGATAATCAAACTAAATATCTATAGTTTGATTATGTTCTTCAATAACTTTATCTTATTGAAAAATTTTTTGAGTTGCAAGGCTTTTCTATATTTAATAAACTTTGGATTGTGTATATATCTTATGGCTTTATATGAAACTGATTTTCTGATCACAAGTTTGTTAAAATATATGTTACACATTAGTTTTTCAAATGTTTTTCAAAGTTTATTTACTTAAACTTCTCTTTTCTCTAATCTAAATTCTTTCTGAAACAACATTTTAATATTTTTCTAAATTTATGATCTAAACTTTTTTGGAAGGCTTGTTATTATATTGAAAATAGTTTCTTTATATTGATTTATTTTTGTTTATTAATAGATGTTTTGTGGATTTTACTTTTTATAGATATTTTTATTATATAGAGTGATTAAAAGCATGGTGTAATCATTTTCTATAATGTTTTTTATATCTTAATTATCAAATTGAAGTAAAGATAACTTATTAAACTATGTAATATCTATATATAATCTATCTTATTACTATTGATTAGGTTCTATCTTTTGAAATTTTTTCTTTACTTTTCTATGTAACTTGTATATTGACAAATCATCATTTATTTAAAAAGTTAAATAGAAAAATTTCTAAATACTATAATAATCTAAACTTGACTTTGAATAATAATTGTTCATTTTCTAATTGATTATATACTATATTGAAGACTTCTAACTTTATTATTAGTATTCTTACTTATATTTTTTTTGAATAATACAAACTAGTTTTTCTTATATTATTTTATATCTTATTTATTTAAAAGAATATAAATTTATATTATATAGATTTTTTTTCATAAGTAGATTGGCTGCAATTATATATTTTTTATTTTTCTTTATTTATATTATTTTCTTATTAAGATCTTTTCTAATCAAAAGATTAACTTTTGTTTTAAAAAATATATCATTGTTAATATTGTAAAAATATTTATACTATAGACTTTTTTATTATTAAAGATATATTGTATATTAATATTAATAAGTTTTATTTTATATAATTCTAGAATATCTATCTATTCATACTGAAACAATATGACTTAGTCCTTACTAGGCCACATAAAAACCTGGGATTCATCATAAGTCACCTTTCCATCACAGGTGGATAAAAAATCACTGCCCAAAGAAGGTTGGAACCAAGTATGTCTTAGAAATAAAGGCTCCCACTAGGCAATAAGTCTCTTCAGATGGTATACAAGAAGGAAATCAAGATCAAGAATGAATAAGTTCCTCAAACAGTCAGGAAAAGAAAGGATATCCCAATCGGATATTTTTTATTGAGAAGAGGTTTTGAGAAGTAGGTCTTTGAAGGAAGCTGGAAATAATTTTTTTTCATTTTTTACCTTTTTATTTTCTTGTGATCTACTTAAACATTTTTTAAATATCTCCCTTCCCTTTTTTCAACCTATTCTTTTGTAGTTTTTTGTAATCCAGCAGCTTGGTATGACATACGGCAGTAACAACTTGCTGACAATGATGCAGTGGACTAGGAGAGTCTTTACCCAAAGACATTGCAGAGCGAAATATTGTCCCCAAGGCCAAACTTAGAGGCTTTTATGCTTATGACGAGTTTTGTTAGATTAGAAGAATAGTTTAATTGTAATATGTATCATGCTGCTTGAATGAAAATGTACTTATGTTTTCAATTGATTAATAAACTCATGATCTAGCCTAACTATGGATATACAAAAAAAAAATAATAATAATAATTCTAGTATATCTATTTCTTGTTCTAGTATATTTTTAATAAGACTTTGTTGATTTGTCTTATTTGTAATATTTCCAATATTATGTGTATCTATTTTCCATTACTTTTTTAAAAATTTTATTGTTTTTTTTTTTTATTGTTTTTTTATTTATTTAATTAATTTTATTTTTCTTTATAGAAAATATATGTCATTCCTTTTATAAAAATATTATTATATTTAAGTTGTAATCTTGTTTTATTATGTTGTCATTTTTTGTTAATTATTTTTTATTCTTATTTATAATATTTGTTAAAAAGTGATTGGATTTTAACTCTTCTTAATTATCTTGGATAACTGGTATCCTTAGAAATAGTTTGTTTCTATATTGTTGTATTTTTATTTATTAATAATTAATTGTTCTTCTGATATAATTTAATCTTTCTAAGTTTGCTAGAATATATTTTAAAAAGTTATAAAGCTATATTTAAAAGGTTAAATTTATATATATTAGTTTGTAAAATTTGTGCATAATATGAAATTTTTTAATTAAAATAAAAATATAAAATAAAAATAATAATAAAAGTTATAAAATAGTCTTAAGTAAAATTAATTTTTAAGTATTTAAGTTTATATTTTAAGTTTAATTTAATTTAGATAATTTGTTATTGAACATAATATTATTTTTGAATAAATGTTGTATTTTATGAATATAATGCAATAGTTTATAATTAATTAATTCTATATAAAAATCATTAATGTAATAATTAAAAAAAAAAAATCCATATACAAAATACAGTATTATAAGTTCTGAAATAAACGATTAGTTTACTATTTATCCGACTTAATTAAAAATAGTTAAATCAATCACAAATTAATATACTAATTTTAAATATCGATCAATAATTATTAATTTATTAATTTACCAATTTTTCAAAGATTGTTGTAATTATTAATATACCAATTTTGAATTTAATATAATGAAGTAAGTATTAGTAAAACGTTCTTGAGTGCAGCGAGTATACTGTATGATGTCCCTTTTGTTGTATAACACTTTCGATGATTAACTTTGTATTCATTATTTTTATTCTAAAATACCTCCCCAATATGCTTAGCGATAAACAATTTTTAATATACAATACGTCTACATGCATCACATAATTTGTAATATTATACAGTATATTGCTTGAATTGTTTATTGCAAATCATCGTCACACAGTATTACAATAAATCGATAAATAGAATAAATAAATAAACAGCATGCTTTTAACAATCAAATTTTCAATAATATATATGCAAATGCCTTTTGGACATGGTTGGTTGTATTCTGTAAGTTTCGTAATTCAACGACCAAAAAAGCGCATGTATTGTTCTTTACCATATATTTTGCTTCCAATAGAATTGTTGATTAAATGAGATTTTTTTTTTTTTTTCCACTCTCGCATCCTCATTCTATTCAGGTCCAAGAAGATTCGAAGGTTAGGTCGCGAATAATTCTTGTTGTGAATGCTAAATCGGGATACCCTGGTATTGAGACCATGAATCCGTGGCTCATGTGCGTTATTCTTTTTTGGATTTCTTGCATAGAAAATATGAGAAGGTTGTTCGGTCCTTTTTTTCCTGTGAATTATTAATTCAAGACCATTTAAAGTCTTGCTGTTGCACAGCTATAGACACACATATGGGGCAACATATGCTGACCAAATGTAAACAAATTCTCACGACAATGGAGTGCGGTTCGTTTCCACATGACCAGCGAGTATTTTATTCGTGGTATATCGTATTACAATTATATAAAATTTTCCGAATTACAAACTCTTGTGTGGTTTACAATCGGACGAATTACTGATAAACCATCCAGAGTCGAAAAAGGATTAGCACGACGCGATTTTACACTTTATCTTTCATATGACTATAAATTATAGAGAAAACTAGCTATCGATATGCTTGTTTGTTTGATTATCTCGGCGCAGTATCAAAAATAAACTTCGAAATATTCCAATTTCAAGAAAAAAAGGTCCTAGTCACAAGCCACGAAAGCCATGGAAGCATGCGTTGTTCGCATTATTGTCCCAGTCTCAACCTCAGGAAATGTATTAAAAATAATTAATTATGTTCCAATTACGTTCTTCGGTTCGTTTCAGGACTATTTTAGTCGTTATCAGTCCTTGTATTTTAAGGAGGTTTCCGCCTCGCAAATAGCGTAACTCGATTGATCCGGCAGAATATTATTAACGAGAATTAAGATTTCTTTGCATCTGATAAATTAATAATTCGAGAACGTGCGAAACTCGAGGTATAGGATTGGTTGGTTCTGATTATTTCTTTATGCAAAGCAAATCACAATTGATCAGCAGCTGATCATCCTCGACTGAAATCTCGAAATTTTTCAACCAATAAGAACCCGTCTAGTGGACACTTGGTTCTTTCTATATATTCTATTTCATCAAACCTTTTGCCTTCTTCTTTTTCAGTAATTTCCTATTCGAAAAATGTTCCCTCCTCTTCCCACTGAAACATATCGAGAAATTTTCAAGTATTTAGATTTCCGTTCTCTAGGTAGTTGTGTCTTGGTGAATAAATCGTGGTTTTTAAATGCAGTTGGTCTACTATGGCAAGATCCATTTGAATCATTGAGCGAGGATAAGGAGATAATCTCACGAGGACCAAAACTCATTAGAACTTATGCATCATGTTTATCATCCATATCGCGAAAAAATCTTGAATGTTTCCAACTTCTATCACCGACTTCAACCGCGAATAAAGCAATCTTCAATTACGCGTTCTTCTTGGTTAACCTTGATTATTTACTGCTGGTGACATCGATAAAACAATGGATTAAAGTATCCTTGGGAGATGAAAACTGTGATCAGAAAGAGATCGAAAGAGAAGTTATAAAAGAATTGTGTAGTTTATTTTTTCAAAATTGCGCAAGTCTGCGTAAACTTGGATTTCTTCCACGTGGATACACGTATATCTTTGCAGAAAATTATCTTCAGGATACAACATTCATCCGATTAGACAAACTTCCCAACGCCGAAAATTGCTTGTCACACCTGGAAGAGCTTAGGTGTTTCGGTAAATATTTGAAGTTTTTCCTGAGAAATTCTTTTATTACGCCTCTTTTTTTTTTTTTTATTGTTTCATTTGATCGTGTTCTCCCGACATCATTTCAAATTATATTAATGTCAACATCGGATTTTCAGGCTTGACGCCTAACGAAGTTTTGTGCAAGATAGCGGAAATATCAAAGAACCTCAAAGTATTGGACATTCGGGATGGCACGGAAGAAAACAAAGGGTTAAGGAATTTGTTTGAAGTTCAAACTAATCTGCGAGAATTTACGATAACCACCACAGAACCGCTGTCATGGATTTCAATATCCTTGCGTAAAAAGGTGCAAAATTTGCAAAAGATCAACATATACTGTCACGATCATATACCCCTTGGGATATTTGAAGGTGTGACAAATATACAAGAACTTACATTATGTGATGATCTGAGATTTGCACCCGTGACCGGAGTAGATCCTGTGAGGCAGTTCAATTCGAATCTCACGAAACTAGAGGTGCTAGACTTAACTCTAAGGGATCGAAATCTTTTGCAAATTTCTTCTCTAATTCGTAAAACAAATGGTAGTCTACTTCAGGTTTCTTTGCATTTTGGACGTCCTCTGGACTCTCAAAATTTTTCCGCCCTGACCAGCACAATTACAAGCGCATGCCCTAAACTGAAACAATTGACCCTTCGTGTTCCCAATGACACAATTTCAAAAATACCATTACTATTTACTTCGTGCACTTCGCTCGAGTGCGTGACACTTGTCGGGGACAACTATGATATTAGTGAGACATTGATAGAAATGGGAAATAGTTTGCCACGGAATTTAATGACACTTTGCTTGAATCCCGAAAAGTGGATATATAACGAAAGCTCATTAAAATCATTCCTCGAACATTGCGAAAAAAGATTAAAATCTTTTCCATTAAAATTTGCACGAAGCAAGATAAGAGGGAAATCGGAGGTTTTAAATTCGTTTATTGAGGAAGGTATCGTGAGCTTAATGTGACCCGAATTTTAACGGAACGACAGGAGTGATCAGAATTAGAATTAGTTGCAGGGTAAATTTTCAGCCTGGTTTAAAGGATGGATTGATTAATCATTTTTTTTTTTTTTGAGATTTTTAATGGTGATGGGTATGTAAATTAGAGAATAAAAAGATGATAATAAACAAACAACGATTTTACGCTGGCGTTTTTTCATTAAAGGTCGAACCGATCACATCATCTTGTAGGTTTTGACGAAAAAAGCGGTTAATCATGATTCCTCATTCTGCAAGGCCTCAGATTGATGGAATATTCGCAGGCCGTCTATGATCGTTTGGAGGGATTCTCCGTTCAACACGTTTTCCAGTTCATGCAACGTTAAATTGATCCGATGATCGGTGACACGGTTCTGTGTCAATTATTTATTCGTGATTGCATTGGGATTAGCGAACGAATCTTTTCCTTTATTCAATAACACCTAATAAAAGGGAATACCTGAGAGTAATTGTAGGTTCTAATCTTTTCCGATCGGTCACCGGTTCCCACCTTTAAAGGAACGTGAATAAAAGGGTAGCAAAGTAACCTCGTTGCCGATTCTAGGAACGGTTCCATTCCGGAGTCGGGAGAACAAATCAATGCTCACCTGTTGTCGACGCATTTTGCTCCTTTCTTGATGATTCTTTGCACGTTCCATGTCAAATAATCTCGCCTTTAGAATTTGGAGGGCCTTCGCTTTGTTCTAGTTAGGGTATACGAAATTAATTATTGTTCATGTTAATTTGCATAGACGGTGAAATAGGTCTCCAACTGACTTTTGGTTGGGATCGCTCGTCTTGTATCGCGACTACGCATCCGGTTGGAATGTGCGTTATACGGACGGCACTAGATGTGGTGTTCACGTGTTGACCACCTTTACCGCTAGATCGATAGCAGTCAATTCTAAGGTCTGCTTCACGAAAATTAATATCCGTCTGAATTTTGATGTGAACGCGGAAACATGCTGTTAGAGAGTGCGCGTTGGAAGCACGGCTGCGCAAATCTTTCGAATAAACAACGATACCTCGGTGGGTTGAGGTAAAATCGCGACGGTGACTGTGCTGGTGTGAACGCGACCCGCTCTTTCCGTAGCAGGAACCCTTTGAACGCGATGAGTGCCAGATTCATACCTCATGTTTCCAAAGACTCCTTGTCCGGATATGGAAGCCGTCGCTTCCTGTTTTAATGCAAGGTTTCTTCTATTCAAATCTCGCGATTAACCTTGAATTAATATCGAAAGAGTTAACAAAACCTTTATGGCACCCATGGAATCCTCCAACACAGTCAACCTCTCAAATTTCCACTGACGCAGAAGAGCGTAGCGCTCGTACATGTTCAACATGTCGGCGGCAAACAAACCGGCTTCCTCACCACCAGTACCTGGATCGATGACCGTGGCAACGTCAATCATCATTATACGTTCGAATCATCATTCTTTATCAATTTCTCACCAGCGCGAACCTCAAGTATGGCATTTCCTTCGTCAGCGGTGTCTTTGGGAAGTAGAGACGTCACGATAGATTGCTCTAAATCTTTTATCCTTCCTATTATTTCAATGTGTTCCTCTTGTGCAAGTTTTCTGAGATCTTCATCTGCGCCATCCCTAACAATCACGTTTATCTCCTCGAGCTCCTTTACGTAAGAAATATAAAATAATTTTAGTATGCGAAATTATTTTATAAACTTGACGAAACAAAGAAAGCAGGATTTCTACACCTTGAGCTTTCTTGAATTTTTGATATGGGGCAACTATGGTTTCAAGGTCCGATAATTCTTTGGAATTCCGAGAGAGAAGATCTGGATCAACATCCTTCAGAACAATTTGGGCAAATTATTTTGTGATTATCTTTTTTTTTTTTTTTTTAAATTGATGAAAAGTTGGGACCTTCACTGAACTTGGATATTTAATTCCTGAGACAAAGTGGCGTGACGGACGCTCAATTTCTCCAATCTTTCCAAAACTTTATCATTCAGCAGAGAACTATTGGTGAATATTTTTTGTTCCGTGGGTACTACTTGTCGCGACCAGAAAAACCTGATGAATAATTTAACTAAGAAAGGATTCATAGACGACATTTTGAAAAGAATACCCGATGAAGACACGCGTCTCGATATTAAAAGATTCTTTGGGTAGGGATGTTTGAGACTTCTGGGTGAATATGATGGCGCCACGAAGGGGATCCTTATGATATGAGATAAAATGGAACGAAATGGCGGCGGGCGCAATGCAGAATTCATAACGGAAAAGTTTGATAAAAATTTTTGATTTAAACCGTTTCTTTTATGTAACGTCTATCACTAAATACTATTGGCGGAGTTCATCATGATAAAACTTGTAAATTATTAATTTATAAAATTACTTGATTAAATTATTTATCGCTTTTCTTTTCTTTATTCCTTTTTTTTTTTTAATAGATTTCAACTAGAATTTTTTGAAACTTGCTTTAATTAGTTTTATCTTGTTAAATTTTGTTCAAGTTTTTATATTTTTTTCTTCAAATTTCTTAATTGTTTTCAAATTCTATTCATTTATATACTTTCTTCAATTTGATACTTTTTATCTTTTAAATATATCAATAATTTTTTACATTTAACACTTTTTAATTTTTTAAGTTTTACCATCAATTTTATATTTTATTTTACTTATTTTGCATATTTTAAAAACTTTTTTGAACTATATATTCAATTCAATAGATCTTCTAATAATATTATATCATAATAATATAAATTATCATAATATTATTTACAAGTCAATTAAAAAAAATTTTTTTTTTTTTTTTATAATGCTGACTCTGCCTTGTTTTATTTGTATTTATGCAGTATTATTACATAGAAACTATCTAAGATATACTATCAATTTACTATCAAACAAAATTCAATAGAGATAGCCTCTCCTAGAAAGTACTTATTTTGTGACTTGTTACTATCCCTTTGATGGAAACTAATTTGCCAAGGTTAAGCTAGTACTAAAATAAATTTAAAGGATATAAAATTTGTTTATTGCATTTATTATCCATTTGGACATAAATTTATTATCATGATTTTTATTAGTGATATATATATATTTATCAAAAGTATCTAATCACATGTTAATCATTATGATTTTTAAAATTCAAAATTGATTTTGTTTTTATTATTATTGAAGAATTTATTAAATAACTTTTAATAAAATTTATACTAATATGTTTATAAAGGTCTGAATTTTTTATTAATATTATTAATATTTTGTTGAATTTCTATTACTATATATTACAGTTTGAATTCTTCTTAACATACTTTCTACTAAATTTTCTAAATTTTGTAATTCAATTTGATTCTATTATTCTTCTAAAATAATCATTAATTCTGCAAAAATTTTTGAATAAGGATCATGTTTACAAACTTTTATTTCTAAGATATTTCATAAATACTCAATTGGATTAAGATCTGGTGATTGTGCAAGCCAAGAAATATTTGCTATTGAATTATTTTCTAACTATTGTTTAACCATTTTTTTTCTAATGAACTGAAGTATTGTTATCTTAAAAAATATATTCTAAATTATTTTTTAATTCATTAATAAAAGACAAATGATTATTTTTTAAGATTTCAATATATATAGATCTTGTAATTTTACCAGAAACTTAAATCAAAGATCCAATCTTATTTTTTGTAAAACATCTTTATACCATTATATCCTGATTTCCTGATTTTACTATTGGAATTAGATAATTTATATCATATTTTTCATGTAGATGTTATCAAATTCAATGTTGTGAATCATTTTGAAACGATAAAAAACAAGATTTATCATTTCAGATTACTATATTTCATTCTAAATTATAATTTTTTCTAATATAACACTATTTTAATCTTTTTTTGTAATTTTCTTCAAATACTAAAAAATTTTTTTTTCAGCTCAACCATAAAATCCTTTATTATATAAAATATGTTAAATAGTACAAAAGCTTATTAAGATTGTTAATAATTGACTAAATTTTTCTGTTATTTCATTTAAAGATTGTTGTCGATTTTCTTTTACAGTTTTTATAAGATGTCTAATATTTCTTTTTGTTAATTTAAAGGATTTACCAGACCTAGAAATAATACTAGTTTATTGATTTATTTTATATCTTTCAATAATATCATAAATGGTTGTTTTTGAATAATTAAGAATATCTTTAATATTACACTTAATGTAACCACCTTTCTACAGGTTAATAATTTTATCACACTTTAAATTGGTAAGTTTACGAGTTTTAGATATTAATTTTTTTTTATTTATGAATAAAGAAAGTTTATAACTACACAAGAAAAAAATTTTGATATATTTTGATATATTAGATTTAAAGATATTTATAGATAAAGTTTGGTCCTTAGAGTAGTGATTTTCATGTAATAAAATACCTTTGTCAAGTAAGTGTATCTGTATATTCATATAAGATAACTGTCTTGACTTAGTCACTTATATTACTCTTTGTATACAAATAAACAATATATATATTAATAAGTATTTATTTTTATTTTTTTAATCCATAATCATATTACTTTGATATGTCTTTATTGAAATATTAAGAAATATCAAAATATTTTACAAACTTTTTTATAAAGCAATTAATTCATCATTATACATTATTAGTTAAAGGACTATACTACTTAAAAAATATGAGGAGTTTATTAAGCTAGTTTGGACTAAACAAAACTAAAACTAAACTAGATATTCTAAGTCAGATTTAGAGAACAATATTATACTCTTCTAGTAGCTTGACATAGTATCTCTAAGTTAATCAGGATTATTGCTAACAGTTTATACTATCAATTATCTGGAAAAATGATAAATTGCTAAAGTATAGTACTAAAAAAACAAAAAAAAAGAAAAGACAATTCAAAGCTCTTCAAAAGATTCTTGTTCTATTTCACAATTTTCTCTCAAAAGGTATTTACCTAATTGAGATATTCTCTAAACTTTATGATGTTTGAGAAACTTAATCATTCCTGAAAATAACTTCAAGAAAAATATTTGAGAAATTTATTCTTTTGCTGATATATGAATTCATTTATCACTACTAAAACCAGTATTATATTATAGAAGAGTTTACCTGACCAGGATAAAAAAATCTTTTCAAGAACTTTAACTAATAGTATAGAAGCTTGGGAACCTTAACTTTTGTTCAATATAACCTTTTACCACTTGGGAAGCTTAATAAGAAATGGAAGTCAGATCTGTTTGCCTACCTGTTACTTGCTTTTTAATATCATAATTGTTTTCTAAAGGTCAAATATATACAGTTGAATAGGACATTTTTTCTAGAACTTTCTTACTTATATCATCAATAATATAATGAGACATGTAAGTATAACCAATAAGAGCTTGTTTACATTTCAAAAACTGATATATTTCATGTTAGCCAATTACCTTTAGTAAGAATTTGTGCCACTCAAAATTCAGTGTCAAACTAAGATAGATAAAATTTTTCAAAAAACCATGAAAATAGGAACTCTAAGAAGGTCAAGACAATCAAAAAGGAAGAAAACAAATCTTTTTACTACAGAAAACCTCTTTAAACCTCTCACTTCAAAGGTTAGATAGATCTTTAAATACTTTACAATTAGTTCTTCTTTCTTTGGAAACTTTCTTGCCATTGATATCAAAGGTATTGCTTGACTTTTCTTGATTACTAGGAGTCAAGTTTTTGAGTGAAAAGGTTTGTAGACAATAAGGGAAGGATAGTAGTGACTCTTGAAATAATATTTCAAGTTGTTTTAAGGAAAATGTTAAGACTTTATTAACAAAGAAGTATAAAAACTTCTTGCGAACATCTTTTTTGTGTGTAGTCAAAGGATCAACAGAAAGAGTTTTATTTTATATTAATAAATACTTATATATCTACTTATATTAATAATCTATATACTGTAGGTGGCTCTGACTTGAAAAAGGATTAATTGAGTATCTTGTATCCTTTACTATGATTGAATAGACTCTTACTTATATTTAATGATGTATTGATAGCATGTCCTATATCCACTTGCACTAACACATATAACTTATAGTGAACTTCAGGTTCTTATAGAGTTGAGAAAATGCATTTAGACACATGAGGTAATTAATAGAAGCTTGTTTATCAATCTTGTTCAACATATTTTATATCAACCAATTAGAATCAGTAAGATCTATACTATCTGAAATTTCAAGATCAAGATGGGATAGGCAAAATTTCTTAGAGAGCTATGAAAAAGATAGTTCTAGGAGGCCACAACATCAGTCAAAGGATAGAAAAGTAAATCCTTTGATTGGAATATAACTTCTATTATTTCCATCATAGCTGAAAGGTGAGAGATACTTCACAGTTGATCTATTTTTCTTTAGGAACTTTCTTGTCATTGATAGTAAAGGTGGAAGTTGAACTTTGCAGGTCACAAGAGTTTAGTTTGTTTAAAGGAAATTGTAAATAAGATATAAGTGAGATGGAGGAGTTCTAAAGGTACTCTTTAGATTGGTTTAAAAAAAGTAATAAGACTCTTTTAACAAAGAAGTATCAAAACTTTTTATGAATATCTTTTTTGTATATAGTTAAAGGATCAACAGAAAAAGTGGATTAAAACTTAATAGTCACCTTTCTTAAAAAAGAAAAAAGTCTATATTATATAGATCTATATTTTATTACATAAACAATAATGTAAAAAAGTACAAAAGAAATTAATCAGTCATATAAAAAAGAAGCACATACAAAACTTCTATATTATAGTAATAGGTAATTTTACTACTATTTACAATTTATCTGAAGATAAGATATTATTTTTCAAGATTAAATTTAGATTTTCTTAATATATTGAAATACTATTTTTTATCTTTTTGAATAATTAGGACTTTCTAAATATTCAAGATACAGTATATAAAAAGATAAGAATAAAAATCCAATATAATAAAATGTAATAAGTAGTAGTAAAATTACTATATCTAAATATCACAAGATCTAACAAGGTATTTAATACTTTAATTTGATAATCTAGAAGTACAAGAAGTTATAAAAAGTAATCACACTATATTTATAATTATCTTGTAGAATGAATTCTTTTTTAGAAAAAGTCTGATTATT